TTATTATAAAGATCTACTCAACCAGGACCACCACTTTAGACCCCATATTGAGAAGGAACACTTTATGGAAGAACTGAACTACACTGCTGGTCTCAAGTTGACAGATACCCCCACTGAAAAGGAAATATGGAATGCAATTAACTCCATTGATAGCAACAAGTCTGCTGGTGGAATGCAATTAACTCCATTGAAAGCAGCAAGTCTGCTGGCCCTGATGGTTTCACTGCTGAATTCTACAAGAAGTCCTGGGATATCATTAAGACTGATGTTATAGCTGCTGTTACAAGCTTCTTTAAAGGCAACAACCTTCCAAAATACTTTTGCTCCTCCACCACTGTACTGATCCCTAAATCTGAAATACAGAACACTTGGAATCATTTCAGACCCATCTGTTTAACCACTGTCATCAGTAAAACCATCAGTAAAATCATTGTGAATAGGCTACAACCTCACTTGGACTACATAATTAAACCCAATCAAACGGCTTTTGTGAAAGGTATGTCTATTATTGATAACACTCTTTTGGCCCAAGAACTTTTACAGGACTTGAATAAAGCTTGTAGAGGGGGTAATATGATATATAATCTGGACTTAAGGAAAGCTTATGATACTATAAGCTGGGATTACATTTTGGAGGTTTTAAGTGTTAGAGGTTTTGATGTTGGCTTCTGTCAACTTATTAGGAGGTGGCTGCACAATAATGATCATTCCATTCTGATAAATGGGCAAGGGAAGGGCTCTTTCACTGCTACAAGAGGTTTAAAACAAGGAGATCCACTTTCTCCTACCATCTTTATACTTGCCATTGACTACTTGTCCAGAATGTTGGATGAAGCCTTGCTGAATCATAGTCAACACAGATATCATAACCGATCCAACATTGTTATCACTCACTTACTATATGCTGATGACATAATGGTTTTCTCCAGATCCAGCAAAAATGCTATCAAAAAGTCTTCCAAACTCTCCAGAATTTTAAAGCTCTCGCAGGTATGGCTTTTAATCCAGCAAAGTGTCAAATG